GAAGTTGGCAACGTGATGACGTCTTTCTCTTTCTTGCTGAACCCGTTCTTCGTGGAGCTCCAGCGCTCCGCCGCCGGCGCGTTCGACGGCGAGAATGGCTTGGCTGGCTCGGCGGACTGCACGTGGAAGGCGCCGTGGCAAGGTTACGTTGTGGGCGCCCTATACCTGCACTTGTATCGCTGCATCAAGGGGGGTTGGAGAAATACTCCGTTGCCGGTATGCATTTGCGTTCGCCCACGGGAGGGCGCTTCCGTATGCAAGAAAACCATCCAGGCCGTTCGGTCGGAGCTCCATCGGCGGCGTCTCCCGCGCTTGCGGCAGCTCGGCCTCGACCATTTTTCTGGGCTCGAGCAGGTTTTCCTGGGGGGGGGGGAAGTGCGCGCAGGGGGGCAAAGTCTCCCATGGGATCGGGCACCTCTGCAAGAACCTCCGCAAGAACCAGACTGCTCGCCGCTGGCGCCGGCGACCGCGCCTGGATCGCAGAGACATCAATGCGGCGTGCGCTTACGTGTACGAAAACAGTACGCTTCCAACTCGAGCTCAGTTTAGTTTGCTGTGGCGGGAGCAGGAGAAACGCATTGTGCACGTCTGGAGGGCGCCCCGCTGGGTGAGCTATTTCAAACGCGTGTACTTGCGAAGCCACGCCCTGCCGACTGAGCGTTTGAGGCAGAGGTACGGCCGCCAGGCGCTCATTGCAGCCACGTGGCACTACGGGCCCTCAGCCCCGCACGCGCAGGGGCGCCCCCCTTCACAGCAACCCCCGGAGTCTGGCCACAGCGCGCTGAAGCGAGGCGTCAACCACGTTCGGCGGGACGGAAACATGGTTGACCTGGTCAGGGCTGTCGGCGAGCTCGCGGAGGCTCAGTGCGAGGAGCCGTTGGACGAGGAGAACGCTTTTAGTCTCCTGGCGCCCGTCGGCCGCATTGGAGTGCGGCCGACGCACCCAGATCGCTGGATGATGGAGGACGGCTTGGCTAAGAAGTTCCCGGGCCGCACAGAGAACGTCGTCTTGCCTTCCATACCAAGGATTGTGGATGAGTACCCGAAGACGAAGGACACAGACCAGGCGCCCATCTGCAAAGTCGTCCGTGGTCGGAAGACGTGCTGGGTCATGCGCGCGGGGACGCAGGCGGCCGTGGATGTCGACGTCGCGAACTCGCTTGTGAGCGAGTTAAGGGAACTCCACGAGGACCAGTTGCGGGAATTGTGGGTGTCCAGCGGGGTGCTCGTCGAGACGGAGGGCGCGACGGAGGAGGCCCCCAGCAGAGTTTCCTTGGAAGCGCTTCGGGAACGTTGGGGCCGCCACTGCGTTTGCATGGAATCAGATGGCGTAATCACTCCGACTTGCTTTTATTATGGCAAGACGGGCCGCTGCCCGCACAAGTACAGCGTGGAGAACGTCGCCGGTATCAAGGATTGGGCGGGGACCCCGGCAGGGGGCGCCAAGGTGGGCGCCGCGGAGCTTCGCCGACGGGAGAAGGAGAGGAGAAAACTTGACAAAGCCAGGGCCCGCGTTCGAGCGGCGGAGATGTTGGCGAATTCTGCGTGCTTGGACCCCGACGAGGTTCGCTTGTCGGAGTTGGCCCCCGAGACAGAGAGGAAAAAAATGGGCGGGGCGCGGGGCCGCGCGGCCGCCAGGGCTCCTGCCCGAGCACGACCTAAAGCCAAGAGCGCTGCGAAACCTGGAGGCGATGCCGAGAGCGGCGTCGCCCAGGGGGCCGACGAGCCGGGGAGCGCTGCCGGGAGTTCCGCTCGCCCGGCCGCCAAGGCTCCAGTCCGAGCAATGGCTTCCGCCCAGGGCGTCCCCAAGCTTGGCGGCGCTGCCCCGAGCGGCGTCGCCCAGGGGGGTGCCAAGCCGGGAGGTGCTGCCGGGAGTGCCGCTGGCCCGGCCGCCAAGACCTCTGCCCGAGCGAGAGGCTCCGCCAAGGGCGTTGCGAAGTCCGGGGGCGCCGGCGGGAGCGGTGCTCGGGGAACCCCCTGCCGTGAGGAGCGGCCAGACAGCGACACCTCCGGCGACTCCTCCAACAGTTCCGACGGCAGTTCCACAAGTGATTCATGAGCAGCCTCACGCGGACTGCTCGTCGCGTCTGCCACGCAGCCTGTCTTGGCCGACAGGGCCAGGGCTCCCCACCTCCCCCCCTCCTCCATTCCATCTGCTCAACATTGGGGCCGCGAGCACCCTGCGGGGTCGCGAGGCGCGCGAGGGGTGTGGCGACATGGCCCGGGAACGGCGCGCGAGCCTTCCCATCAGGGCCTCCTGTGGAGCCCCGCATGGGGCCGCGACGCGCGCGAGTGGCGTGCCGAAAGGGAATCGGAACCGCGCGTGGGCCCTCCCGCTGGGGCCTTCAGTGCGCCTTCCTGCGCGGCCACGAAGCGTGTGAGGGGTGTGGCGACAAGGCGATGGGGATGATGGTGATGACGATGATGACGATGATGATACGGCGATGGTGGTGATGTTGACGCTTGGGGTCACGACGGCGATGATAGGGGTGAATGTGACCGCGATACCAAACAGGAGGAGGCGGCGCGGGAGAGAACACAACTACGAGGTGTGGAGCGAGGAGTTCTGCTGATGTAACAAGAGGTCCCAACGCCACAGGATAGCGCGGCAACATCGGGATTTCTGCGCGCCTCGCGTATCCCGTGGACTCTCGTCCTGGGCCGTCGGCTGTCGGGCGCACTGCTCCCCCGGCCGACGCCGCCGAGGATTGCTCTTGGACTGCGGCCGCCACGAGGTCGGGAACGGCAAAAGGACGACGACGATTGGTGGCTGGAGTTCTACGCGCTGCTGTCGCGCGCCACGCGCCACGAGGACCTCCTGCTGATGCGGGCGCCGCGCATTGATTTTTTCCTGGCAGGGCCGCCGGCGGGCCAGCTGGAACAGTTTGTTGCGCGCGCGAAGCGGCGCAGAAGGGGCCGACGGCCCTCGCCAGGGAGCTCGGCTTCAGCGAGTTCATCCGCGAGGCCTGATCTGAGGGGCCGCCGCCGCGGCTGGCCGCGCGCGAGCCAGCGGCGCGCGCAGGCCGTCGCAGACGCTTGGATGACCCCAGCCCGCCGTCGGAATTGCACGCGGGAGAATGACCGGCGCCTGTCGGGGGGATTTCACCCAGATCGCGCCCTTCTCGCGTCGCCTTGCCGCGCGGCGCTGGGGAGCTATCCGTGCACTTTGAGTCGCAGTGGACGACCCCCGCGCGTCGATGGGATTCCCTCGGGGAGACCAGGTCGCGTCGGCGGGGGCCCTCCAGCCACTTTCGAGCGGCGCCGCCTGCGCAAGGCCCTCTGCGTGGCTCGCTATCGTCCCGGAGGCAAAGATGTCACCTCTCGTCTCTCGCTCCTCTGGCTTCACTTCGCTTCTTGGCCGCGCGCCCCCCCGGTCGCGTTCTTGCCGCCGCTGACCTGATCCTGACATGTACGCGGCTTCTCCGTAAAATCTTCCTGCGTGCCCAGTAACAGGTCTCACGATGCGTGGATGATGCTGGCTTTTCAGATCTCCGTCAGAATCAGCACCTTCATCGAGAAGATCAGGATGTTCACACAACCCATTCACCGTGCTTTCATGCGCATTGCCACCGTGGACGCCGCTCAGGCTCGACCCTGTCAAAGACAGTCAGTAGCCCCCCCCCCCCACTTCGGGCGTAGCGGCTGCTACGGAGCTCGCTGCCAGGATGGCCGCTGCCGCGCGTTGGAAGCGCATGTCGCTCCTGATCAATGACGGGGCAGCTTTCCTGTTTTCGGCAGTTGACCACTCCGCCAAGGTTGCGAGGCCGCCTCCATCTTGCGCTGCATTCACGCGGGCTGCTGTGGGAGAGCAACATGTCGCACTACACAGCGCTGATGGAGAGGTGCACATCTACCCCGTCACCCTGGCGATATCCGGAAAGGATGTCGTGCAGTTACCCGGCGTCATTCGCGACGACTGCCTCCACTTCGCTCAGGTCGCGGCCGGGGCGCGCTTCGCGGTGACGCTGCGATGCGACGGCGTGATCCTCGTGTGCGAGGGCGAGCGCCTCACCTCCCTTACTATCAGCGAGGGAGCGGTGGGCTTCCTAATCGCGGCCTGGGGCGATGCAAACGGGATCCTTAACGACGGCATCTTGCAGATCATCAGCCCGTAGGGCGAAGGGATCTGCGCGTGGGAGGTCCATCGGACCGTTGTGCAAACCAGCATGTTAAATCACGTGGTCTCACTGGGTGACGACGGCACTGCCCGCGCTTTGGGCAGGAACGACGTGGGCCTGTGCGACCTACCAGATCTCGAGGATAACGTGAAGTTCACGGAGATCGCAGCCGGGTGAAAGCACTCGGCGCTGCTGCGCAGCGATGGGACTGCAGCAGCTCGCGGCAGCAATGACTGGGGGCAGTGCAACATCCCACCTCTGAGCGAGGGCGTCACCTACACGCATGTCGCCGCCGGGGCGAAGTATACCATAGGCAACAGAAGTGACGGGAACATTGGTTTGCGGATTGTCCGCGGACAACCAGGACATCGCATTTCGCGCCCCGGGCCCGGGCACCGCCTTCGCCGTTGCGACGCCGCCCTCGATGCTGCTGCGGGCGACGCTGGAAGACCTCGCGATGATATTCCGGACAGTGAGCGGCGAGGAGTGCTGGGGGACCTCAGTCTCATCCGAAACTGAACTGAAGACGACTTGGCGCGATCTGAAACTGCCTTGGAAACACGGCCAATTCGGGCGCGGTGCCGGGAGAGTCGACGCAGTCCTGCCGGGGGGCCGGCTGCTCACGTGCGCCTGCGCGAAGGGCGACGCCGTCTCAAGTGTTTTCGACGCTCCCCAACTGGGCGCCGACCAGGTTCGCGACGCGCACGAACCAGCGCAAGGGCAGGCGAAGCAACTGGCCAAGGAGCTGGACTCCAGCGAGTTCATCCGCAAAGCCTGATTTGAGAGGCCGCCGTGACGGTTGGGTGCGCTGGCTGTTGCAGACGCTTGGATGACCCCAGCTCGCCATCGAAATTTTTCGCCAGAGGATGACCGGCGCCTGTCGGGGGGGTTCCACCCAGATCGCGCCCTTTTCGCATCGCCTCGCCGCGCAGTACGGGGGCGCCACGCGTTTACTCTGAGTCGCAGTGGACGACCCCCGCGTGTCGATGGGGCTCCCTCGGGATGACCAGACCGCGTCGGCGGGGACTCCCCCGCCACTTTCGCGCGGCGCCGCCTGCGCGGTGCACTCTGTGTGGCTCGCCATCGGCTCGGAGGCAAACGTGTCGCCCCTCGCCTGTCGCTCGCTCTGCGTCGTTCGCTTCGTTTCTGCCCCACTTGCCTCTGACATGTACGCGGTGTATCCGTAACTTGTCCTGCGTGTTCCGTAACGGGTCTCAAGATGCGTCGATGCTGATGTGGTGGGTTACTTCGCAGCCCAGGACCAGTGACTACAGTGACAACAGACCGCGCGAGCTGTGCTGCGATCCGCCACCGGCCGCGACGCACTGCATGAAAGGCAACCGCGCCCCGTCAGATCTTCGGTGGCCCACTCCACCAAATCTTCAAAATTATGAATACTCGCAATGGCCCCAAACCCCAACTAACGGAACTGCCCGCGCGGCGATTCTGACCCCGGTCGGCCCAAGCCCGGGTCAATCAGGCCTTGCAATCCTGCAGAATCCTGCGCCCAGGCCCCGGTCAGGGCGCCCCTGGCCTTGCGCGATCCTGCAAGATCCAACGCTCTGGCTGACCCCCGTCTGCACTGACCCCCGTCTCAAGGCTCCCGATAATCCCGAATAGTACATGTTCCCGGGCGGCGGGCCCCCTTTTCAAGTGTTTTTTTCTGTAGTCGACCGCTCAAGGAACATTCCGCAGGGATCGACAGGCAGGCCTGAAGGATGTTTCAAAATGTATCTAGCCACGAAGCTAATTCGCCAAGCCTTGCACACGCCTGGTGAACCGTGCAGGCGGCGCAAATAAAAAATTCGACCGTGCACGCTGGCGGTTGCCGACCAGTGCAATGAAACATGCCGGCCAACGCAAGGAACAAATTCGACCGGCACCGGAATCGCGGCGCATCCTTGCAGCTGGCTGCACCAAGTGTTGGCGTGGACCCCACAAGGATCTCTTCGGCGACGCGGTCGTCCCGAAACCCGGTGGACCGACAGCGCGTCTGCTTTTCTGCGCAGCAAGACAAAGCGGACTTTGGCACAAGCATTCCGAGAGTTTTCACGAATGAAGTGGTCCATGCTGGAGAAAAGCATATCCAATACATGAACAATTGATTTCCGTCGCCCTCCCCAGCCCCTCACCTGCCTCTCCTTCTTCCCTCCTCCTCCCCTCCCCATCAAGCACGCCTGCCAATGCTGCATCCAAGTTTTTCGCCGCCAGCGTCGCTCGCCATGGCAGGCCAGTTCTAAAGTTCCGTCGTCCTCACGAGTGGGGCGCGACGCTTTGTGGCGTCCGATCGGTCCTTTGCTTGCTTGCTTGCTTGCCATCAGCCGAGAGGTCAACTCCAAGGCGGGGGCCCTCAGTGACGGCTGCTCTTGCAATTCCGAGAGCACGGCATCGCCATCAGTGAGACGGCAAAGCAATTCAACAGCCATGTCGTCCAACTATTTCGTGTCTTGTGAGGCACCAGACTGCAAGCCCGTGGCAAGGCCTTCGTAAGCAGCCCCTAGAACAGAGGTAATGGTATATAAAATTAGCCTGGCGAAGGACCCAACCATATGCAGCTGCGAGTACCGCGCAGGATATGCGACGAAGGAGGGGGCACGAACCTACGAGTAGCGCAAGGCATGTCCCCTCTTCTCACAGGCACCGCGCCACTGCATGGACGAGGCACAGGGTAACGCGGGCAGGAGGTGGCTGGCGGAGAAGGAGGAGGGCTGTAGGAGATGTCGTCGGGAAGGGGCCTGGCAGGTTCCAGTTGGCATAGGAGACCTGCTGAAGATCCCAGCGCGAGCTCGGGGAGTTCGTGGAGGGTTCGAGGTTCCCCCCAGGGGTCCTGGAGGGATTGAGGACCCCTGGGGGTTGCTGAAGGGTTTGGGAGGGTTCCAGTTTCCCCATGGTGGTTCCTGGAGGGTTCGGGGGGGCTCCATGGCCCCCCTGGGCGTTCCTGGACGCTTCGAGGGCCCCCCCAGAGGTTCCGCAGGTTTTCAGAGCCCCCCTGCGGGGGGTCCTGGTAGTTTCGATGGTCCCCCAGAGGGGGTCGTAGAGGTTCGAGGGTCCCATGGGGCGTTCCTGGAGATTCGATGGTCTCCCTGAGGGGGTGTCTGGAGGGTTCGAGGGCCCCCCCTGGGACTGAAGGGTTTCAGGGTCCTCCCAGGAACTCCTGGATCGTTTGGAAGAGTTCCAGGGTCCCCTTGGTTCTCGGAGGGTTCGGGGGGGGCTCCAGGGTTACCCCTTGAGGTCCTTGGAGGGTTCGATGGGGCACCCATGAGGTTTTTTTTTTTTGTCGAGGGGGGGGTCAGGGGGGCCTTCGCACGTCACAGGAGACAGGGGCCGCCAGAGCGTCGCTGGAGAGTTCCAGGGGCCCCTGGAGGATCAGCGGAGATTCCCTGCTTCGCGCATTTTGCCCTTGTGAGATCCTAACAACAACGGTGAGCTGTTATAAGTGTTTACGGGTAACTCGCTACTATCGAGTTCGTAAGAGGGCTGTAACTCTTTATAACTTTCCATAACTTTTCATAACTTCCCATAACTATTTCATAACTATTCCATAACTTTTCCATACGTTTCATAACTTTATATGACTTCCCATTGGTTCTTTCATAGAGGAGGGGCGGGCGGGGAAACATGGATGGAAGGGTGGGCTATACATGATCATCAGTGTTTCCCCACATGCTTCGTGGGGTTATGGTTTTCTTCCCTGCCGCGCCGCACCCGCGACACTCTCTCTCTCTCTCTCTCTCTCTATATATATATATCACACACGCACCTCACTCTTCGTACAGCACAGCACAGCTCAGCACAGCACAGCACAGCACATCACAGCACAACACAGCTCAGCACAGCACACAGCTCAGCTCAACTCAGCACACAGCACGGCTCAGCACAGCTCAGCACAGCCCAGCACGGCTCAGCTCAGCTCAGCACAGCACAGCTCGTGGCACTTCCTCGACACCACAGGGGGTGCGCAGGGGTTGGTCTCTCAGCTCGGCCGCTATCCACGACACTGGCGCAAAGCCAAGCAGGCGTGGCACTCTCTCGACACCAAAGGGGGTGGGCAGGGGGTGGTCTCTCAGCTCGGCCGCTATCCACGACACTGGCGCAAGGCCTAGCAGGCGTGGCACCTTCTCGACACCACAGGGGGTGCGCAGGGGGTGGTCTCTCACCGCGGTCTCTATACGCCCCAGTCGTCCAGGCATAGCAGGGGTGGCACTTTCGACACCACAGGGGGTGAACAGGGGTTGGTCTGGTAGTCTCTCACCGCGGTCTTGATAACGCCCCTGTCGGCCAGGAATAGCAGGCGTGCACTTTCTCGACACCCACAGGGGTGCGCAGTGGGGGTCTCTCACCGGCGCGGCCTCTACCCGCCCCCGGGTGTCCGGAAATAACAGGGCGATGCACTTTCTCGACACCACAGGGGGTGCGCAAGGGGTGGTCTCTCACCGCGGTTCTTATAAAAACGGGGGTGGGTGTGCGTGTGGGGGAGGGGGGGGTGACCCAGTCGTCCAGGCATAACAGGCGTGGCACTTTCTCGACACCACAGGGGGTGCGCAAGGGGTGGTCTCTCACCGCGGTCTCTATACGCCCCAGTCGTCCAGGAAAACCTAGCAGGCGTTGGCACTTTCTGGACACCACAGGCGGGTGCGCAAGGGTGTGGTCTCTCACCGCGGTCCCCTTACGGACGCCCCAGTCGTCAAGCATAGCAGGCGTGGCACTTTCTCGACACCACAGGGGGTGCGCAGGGTGGTATCCCCACCGCGGTCTCTGTACGCCCCAGTCGTCCAGGCTAGCAGGCGTGGCACTTTTCTCGACACAATAGGGGGTGCGCAGGGAGGTGGTCTCTTCACCGCGGTCTCTATACGCCCCAGTCGTCCAGGCATAGCAGGCGTGGCACTTTCTCGACACCACAGGGGTTGCGCAGGGGGTGGTCTCTCCTTGCGGTCTCTATACGCCCCAGTCGTCCAGGCATAGCAGGCGTGGCACTTTCTCGACACCACAGGGGGTGCGCAGGGGGTGGTCTCTCACCGCGGTCTCTATACGCCCCAGTCGTCAAGGCATAGCAGGCGTGGCACTTTCTCGACACCACAGGGAGTGCGCAGGGGGTGGTCTCTCACCGCGGTCTCTATACGCCCCAGCCGTCCAAGCATAGCAGGCGTGGCACTTTCTCGACACCACAGGGGGTGCGC